CCCCCCCCCCCCACTTCCCTCCTCTAAAAAGGTGTTGCTATGTTGTTTCATTAGCTCAAAAGTTCCGTCAAAGATTTAATCGTTGTTCAGTATCAACTCTGACATAATTTAATAGCAGTGTCAACTATGACATTATGATTAACAATGTCTAAACTTTAGCCTTAGCATACTTTGAGATCTTCCATAGATTAGAGTCACAATCAAACTGGAGTCAGTTTTTTCTTGCAAAAAAAACTTAATTTTTTTTGTAGGTTGCGCAACTGGTTTCTCAATTGTTTCTACAAGTTTCTTTGCTGTACTCTTTCAATACTCAAAACCTTTGTCTCTGAATGTATTAAAAATGTTTGTGCTTCTTCACTAAGTCTACTTTTTTAAAAAGCAAAATAAAGCAAAACCATATTGATGGGAACAAAACCAATTAAATTAAAACGGGCGATAATGATGTCACAATTTCAACTTCTTTTGTGACAAAGATGTTATCCCTACATGCTCCAAAAGCACCCCCCAATTCTGCATTTTCAAAATTCACTTAGCAAATAAGTTCTTCAATTTATTGATTAACCTTAATTTATTATCCCAAAAATTTCAAACAAAGACAACATTCTTAACAAATTTGTTTGGCATGTCCAATTATTTCATTTAAATATAGGCCACTAACTTTTTATTCGGTTTAGATATATTTTTATAAAAGGAATATACCTATCACCGAAGAGTAGAGCAACAGCATAATATTCTTTATATGTTATTTATGTAAAACTTATTTTTCTCAAATATCGTATTTATTTTTTTTGTTTGGGATCAGAATGATATCTCTAGACCAGTGGTCCCCAAACCCGGGCCGCGGACCGGTACCGGTCCGTGGATCAAATGGTACCGGGCCGCCCAAGAAACATTAAATTATTTCCATTTTATTTACTGTGGTGTATTTCTCTCGGGATTGTTCGCCTGTTGCACCGAGAGCATCATATTTGATGGCTAACCGTATTGCTAATGCTAAAAAGCCATTCACTATTGGTGAAGAATTGATTTTGCCCGACTCTAAAGACATTTTCTGTGTTTCTAGGAGAGGCTGCTGTTAAAAAGATAGCATTTGTGCCTTTTTTTGCCTAGCACTGTGACTAGGGCGCATTGAGGAAATAGCCGAAGACATTAAGACACAATTGTTGGAGATGTTTAATACATCACCGTGGTACGCACTACAGGTTGTGGAATCTCCAGACATCGACGACAAGGCAATACTACTTGTTTATGTGCGATATCTTTATCAGGAGGATGTGCATTAGGATTTTTTATGTAACTATCTTTGCCAACCAGCACTCCAGGAGCAGAACTGTACAAGTCACTGGATGGTTATATATCAGGACAACTAAAACGGTCCTTTTGTGTCGGCATATGCACAGATGGAGCTGTTGCCATTCCCGGACTACTGTCTGGTGTAACGGCTTGGATTAAGGAGGTTGCTCCTGAGAGTGAATGTATGCATTGCATCATTCACAGAGAAATACTGCCAAGCCGCAAAATGTCACCGGAATTTAACAGCGTCTTGATTGATGTCGTTCAAGTTATTAACCACATCTAAACACCGACACCTTGACTCACACCTGTTTGAGCAGCTTTGTGAGGAGATGGACGCACAGCACAGATGCCTTCTCTTGTACACAGAAATAAGATGGCTATCCAGAGACAAATCGCCCACCAGTGTTTTTGAATTACGAGCGCCATTGCAAAGATTTCTCTCAAAATGGAAGTCACCTCGACAAGGTATGGGTCGCAAAACTGGCTTACCTGTGTGACATATTCAGCCTGCTCAGTGAACTCAATCTGTCACTTCAGGGGAGAATGACAACAGTTTTCAAGTTGGCAGACAAAGTAATTGCATTTAAAACCAAACTGAAGTTGTGGGGACGGCGTGTGAACAAAGGCATTTTGGACATATTTCAAACATTACCGGGGATTTTAGGCGAGACTGAGCCTGACCAACGCCGGCCTTTAGGATGTGCGAAATACGCCCTCGCACAGGCTGCCGTGGCCATAGGGGCGCCTGAGGTGCCAAGAAAATATTTAAATTCCCATCGCTTATTATAGTGAAGCGTGAACCTCGGGTCCAACGTTGAGAAACGGTATTCTAACTTTACGTACACGGTGTTGGCTTAGGGCGCCTTCAAGTATCTTCGAAAGTTAGAAAAAGCATTGCATATGGGCGCCATGGAAGAAAAAAAGAAATTGTAATAAAAATGATGTTCTGATCTAAAGGCTAAGAAAAAATGTCATCAGTCAGTGAGCTGATTGTTCATACTGTTCAAATACAAGTTTTAAAAAAAATCTAAATTATTGTTCAGTGTTTGTTTTAATAAACATATAGTATATAGGTAATAAACTCATTACCGAATAACTAATTTTTCCTTTAACGATTATATTTAAAAGGTTACGCCTACACTAAGCATGCACAGGGCACCAGCAACCGTCGGGCTGACCTCAGGCTCAGCATTCATTCTCCCAGTTGGTGCACGATCACCTGTCTTTGGTGTTAAAAACTTCGAGCGCTACTTCCCAACCGCAAAATACCTACGAACTGGTAAGGAATGGATCCACGACCCTTTTGTTAACAAACCAGGCGAATATAGCATGGCTGTGCAAGAAGAAGATCAACTGATGGAGGTTGCATATGACGGCGGCCTTAAAACTACGTTCGAGACAACAACTCTGTCGGCGTTCTGGATTAAAGTCATGGCGGAATACCCTGACATTGCCACCATAGCACTTAAATCCCTATTGCCATTTCCGACGTCCAATCTGTGTGAAGCGGGGTTTTCTGCAGTGACAGCCACCAAAACAAAACAACGGAATTAACTGGACATAAGCAAAACACTTCGGATGTCATTGTCTCCTATTACCCTCCAGATGGAACAGTCTCGTTGAAGAAAAACAAGCTCAAGGTTCTCATTGATTTAGCGTTCTGGTCAATTAAAATGATAAATCACCTTATATTCATTTTTTTTTTTTTTGATGTAACAGTATTTTATTTTGAAGGCATGTTTAAACAAAATCAAATTAAAATAGTAAAATCAAAATAAACTTAAACATAAACATTAAAAAGTTTGGGGACCACTGCTGTAGACTTTGGCGCTCCAAGGATTGCCTGCTTTGTCAATATGCTAATGGTGCAAACCTATTTCATTTGTCTTATTAATAAATAGGAGTACGTCTGGAATGATACCTCAAATAGATTTGCTCCATCCTAAGTGGCAGACGAAAAAATGTTGCAGGACGAAGCCTGAAAATGGCAGCCAAAAATGTATAGAAAAAAGGGCTGTCTGGAGCCAGTTAAAAAAAAAAAAACTACTTCGGACCAGAAAAAAAAGACAGTTTCGGTGCCCCTTGTCTTTGTGAGGCACATGAGATTTTTAATGAACTGTTAGTTTGGGGCCCATTCTTTTCTTTTCAAGCCTAAACATATCTTTAATTCCTTTATATATTTACTTTATATTGTTTGCACGCCGTCCCTCCTATATTATCCTAACTAAAGACAATTTTGGCATCCCACCCCCCTGTTTGTGCGTAGGGCGAGTGCCGGCTTCGCCTCCATCCTTCTGCACAAGACCCTGCTTAGTGGTATCTATATTTTTTTCTCATAAAATCAAGACGTTTGTTTGGTTTTTTTTTACAAAAAGAATTTTATTCATTAAAAAAAATATTAAATGTTCATTGAAAATTACGTGTAAATTATTGGTAAATCCTAAGGCATAGGGATATATACACATTTAAAATCAGATTGACATCAAATACCTTGAAAACAAATAAAAAATAATGGCATTTCAGCCATTTTAAAATTTCACCGGTTTACTGAATTAAAATTACAATAAAAATTAACGAACATTAAAAAATAGAACTAATAATATCAAATACAGTGCAATTCACTGATTGATGAGTTAATAAAAAATTGTTAATTTCGTTTCTTTAAAAGTTGAAATTTTACAATACTATTTCACATTTTAGAGTTGTACGACCCACACTGTTAATTACCAAATCCATCAACATGACTAGACATAAATTCCCTCTCAGTAAAAAAAATTACAAGGGTTCATTAGTATTTATTTTTTACACTATGGAATGGCAAAATATAGCATTCAAATGGACTCTTTGAATCTAGAAATAAAAGAGATTCAGAACATTTCCAAACAAAAAATAAAAATCTGGGGAATGTCCTTAGAAATTTGAAATAGAGTGGAAAGCATTACCGGCAACATAAAAAAGAATCAGCTGACACTCAATACAAATACAATTACAATCTAATCTTTTTTGTAAGTTAGTAAAAAGAACTTGTTTAATTTCACTGTTTTGTGGTCATTGGTAAATAATGGGATAAATAATAGATTAAAAATCCCCGTGTCATTCCAAAGTGACAAAAAGGTAAAGTTGACTTTATTATGAGATGATGATTTCACCATGGCCTCGACGCTAAAGACACATACTGAAATTGCCAAATTCCCCCTGGATCTGAATGATCACTTTTCTTAAAATATAACAGGCTTTTTTCACTTTGCAAAGTAAAAAGATAAAAAGTGATTTTTATTTCAGTTTAATTTATATGAGAATAAGAGTGAGCTGAAAAATCTTATACGTCACACGCCACAAGCCCAGCCTTCCACATTTATGTAATGACATTCTTTCCAAACTATTTTTTTTCTTTTCAAAAGGCAGCTAAGATTTAAAAATTTCTTGCATCTCCTCTGTTTGATATTTTTTGGCCTTCAGATCAGGCAATTCGCAGCCTGTGTATCCTCCATTATCTACACAATATTTGATCAGCATACGCCAGTTTAGATCCTGCAATAAAAATGTCACCCGGTTAAACACAAGAACACTGAAAACATTTTTAAATTGTGAGGGATGCCATCATTAAAGTTTAGATTATTAAATCTAAACATACATGCTAGAATAGAGTCTGAGGTCTTATATTAATGTTTCAAAGTAAAAAGACAAACATTGTGACAACTGTTTCAACAAATTGTTAAATTTGGTCCAACTTAATTTAATGCTCCTGGGAGTTTCACTAGCAGAACTTAATTTTTTCACAAATTTGATGTAAATTTTCACAACATATTTAGCATTGTGTATGCATTCCATATTATATCATGGTTTGACCCTGTAAGGATTATGCACTTATCTGGATTTTTTAATCAGATAGCAAACATAGTATCTTATTTTCAGTAAATTAAAAATATCAATATAGCTTGCAATAGCTATTTTTTGTGTGGAAAACTATAAAGGAACAAAAAAAATATATACATGTCAAAACCTTTAAGATATGCCTGTGTGTAACATTAAGTACTGGTATTTAACATGTAATAAAAATGGAAAAGTCTTATAGTTCCCTTAAATCATATTGCAATTATTGCTCCATAGAAAAATACATTCTGCTAAGGCTATCAGGGTTTTCCAGTGGGCCAGATCTCCGATGTCCAGATTTTGACATCTTACTGTACTTCAGATTCTAAATGTCCTTTGGAAACTCATGTCAAAATGAAAATGATGACAATATGAGAACCTGATTTCTTTAAAGCCTTTAATGCAATCTTTAGCGCTTCAGTCTTATTGAATGATGACTTCCTTCATTTTCTTCCACATAAGAGACTATAAACTAACATAGGATTGCAAACAATTTAACTTAATGGTTTTATTTTACCTGAATTAAAATCAGTATTGTAATGCAATTACAGTTACAGCAGCTTAAAAATCATTTATTAAAAAATGTCATTTAAATCCTACTGTTCATGGTACTTATACGCACATTGTGAATTAATTTTACCAATATTGTTTCAAATAAAATACTAACTTGGGCTAGAATTAACGGATTCCCTACGACAATCATCATGCAGATGGCTCTTGTTATTGACACATTGAACCTTTTGGGATTGCTCAGGAAACCAAGACTGTGACGAATATCAGAGCCTATTAGTTTTTCATTGGACCTAACCTGTAGAGATTTTAGAGGACAAAAATAATATGGTTTATGAATCAAATAGAAAGTATATAAATATAAGAAAATAATAATATTAAAGCCTCCCTGGTACATTAAAACTTTTTACTGCAGCAAGTTTCAAACTACAATTTACATGTTTTATTTTAATACTTTTGTTTTTCAAAGTACCGTAGCTGATTTTGAAAAAAAGGTTGGGGGTGGGTGGTACTACTGTAAAAAATATATGAATGAATAATTTAATTTTTTTTTTAAATATCAATTTTTAAAATAAATTTATGATGAAATGGGAAAAATTTTGCTTGCAAAAAATCCCTTTTAAAATAAAATTAAAAAAGAGTTGGACAACTGGAACTTAAATTAAAGAATTAAAAAATAAATTAAAATATATTCATAAATGACATATTCTATCAAAGCCTTAAAATGTATTGAAATTTTGCATCCTTAACTTTGTAAACATTATTGTAGTTAAAGTGAAAAATGATGCATCATTGCTTACTGTTGAAATAATGACAACTTGATACTCCTGGCCTTGAAATTCCTCAACTGAACCAATCTTGACCTCAGGCATTCCCAATCGATCTATCATCAGTCGAATTTTCTCCACCTAAAATTCAATTATAAATTTTTTTAATAAGTTACAGTTGCTAGGCATATTTTATAATATTTTATGTCTCTGTTTTTAATATTATGCAATTTAACTTGTAATTGCAGTAAGCTTTTAGTTAAGATAGGTTGTATTTGTATGGGAAGAAAAATCAAATCTTTTATTTTAAAACGCCCCAGTCCCCAATCAAAAGAATTAAAAAAAATAGCAGTTTATTTGAAGTTTAGTTTCATTACCAGTTTAGTAAAAATAACTAGACTCTAAGCAAATACTGTGGTAACTTTAAAAATAAAAAAAAACTAAAATATCTTGCATTTGAATCAATGGTATCATCACAAACAAACAGAAGTGTTCAGAATTAAAAGGTAAGAACCTAATCTGCTATTTGGAAAGTCATAGTCAGGTGTCATTGAAACATAAACCTTTCATTTTATAATTATAATACTTAGACAACTAATGGCATTATACACAGAACAGTTTTTGTTCAATTATTTACTTCTTTGTCTACTGCAAGATCTATCATCCAAATGTCAATTTGTACATCTAGATGATCATGTAGATCTCATTTTCATCTTTGTATCTTCAAAGTTATCATCTATTTTACTATTTTAGAAATGAATGCAAATAAAACAACAATCAAACACGTAAAGCCATTACCTGTTTCCGATAAGGTGTTATGATACCAACATCGTCTGGATTGACACCTTCCTTGAGCACACCTTGAAGGTACTGTATAACCTGTATTGTTTCCCCTGGATTAAACCAAGAAGGGCTGTTCTTCTCTCGAAAGTCTTCACCCTTGTCATTGAAAAGAAAAATTTTCATCTTAGACACTTTAACTTTAAACAATTTTTTTTAAATTATACATTATTACCTTTTTATTTCTTGTTGAAACGTTAATTAAATCTGACCTTCTTTGAATTATTGTGTTTTCTACAAAGTCTGCTCAATAAAAGGACAACAGACTCAAGCACGAGGCTTTTGATTTGGTGTTTTCTTTACAAAAGCTAACTAACTGGTTACTTAAAAGCAATGAGCCTAAAGTTTGTGGTGGGTTCAGGGACTGGCACCAGTTATTTAGCACAACCACACGTAGAACTGGTTCAACAGACCAATTTAATAGGATTCCACTCACAAATATCTTTGCCTGGTCTTGGTGGCAATGAACGGGGAGGGTGCAATTCATATGTGATGAATGACAAAGCATAAAGCATTCCAACTCACCCTCCAAGCCAATGATGAAATATAATTAAATAAAAGAATACACACCACATACCCAAAATGAATATTTTCAGAGACGTAACAAAGGTTACTCACTGGAAACAAAACCAATCCTTTGACTCTAATCATCTAAATACTTATCACAGCTTTTACACTATTCTTTTACTCTGAATCTAATCTAATAATAAGTTGGTCTCAACACCCAAATCACCTAACAGTGTCTAGACCAGATGGATCTCAGCCAGAGTTACTTTACTGAGAGAAAAACCAGGACTGACCAAGAACTCACCAACAAAACGCATACATGAAAATACAATGTAAATTCTTTGAAAATATTATAATGTTTAGGTTAAAAAGTTTTTGTTCACGTACTCTTACTCCATGGAAAATTACAGGAAATCCTGTTTTGGGAAGCAGCTCCCAATGCGTCAGTGTGTGCGTGCGGTTGGGATGTGCGTGGGGCTTCAGCTGCCCATAGTAAAACATGTGAGATGAAAGCTCTATGATGGAGGGGTGTGAGCGGTAGTTGTTGACCAACATAGTCACCTGTCCATAGACAACTCAATATTAAACATATATGCTGGTATAATATAATATTGCTAATAAAGGTGGAAGAACTAAAGTGTATACATTTTTGTTTTAATGCAATTGTTAAATGGAAACATTAGATTTAAAAGCTTGCTTGTGTCCAAAAGATACCAAATATTTTAATGCCAGGTAAAAATTTACATTGTGAGTTACAATTTACATAATTTATTATAAATTCTTTCAGAACACAATTGGCAAACTACACTGATTATTTCAGTGCCAAAATTTGTATCTCTAAAGAAATTTAAAAAAGGATTTTTCTAAAAATTTAATAAAAACAAGAATTTTTATAAAGATTTAACTATTAACATAAAAAATTTTGGTTAACAATAAATAAGCTTACAGCTGGTCTTAAAATATCTGAATAAACAAACCAAGCACTGATACTTACCAAGGCCGGGTTAAATCCCCCATGTTCAGCAAAGGTTTCATCTCTCTGGTAAGCTTCTCTCAGCATGAGGCGCTCAAGGAAAGACAATTCCAGCCCATACATTTTAGCAAAGGGAGACATCAGAATGGGACCAAGTTGTTTGGGGTCTCCAGCTAAAATTATCTGCATGAATTTTGTTACGTTTTAAATCTTATGCACCCGGTACAACAAAGATGAAATTATTGGCATGTTTTGTTACATTTTAAATCTTATGCACCCGGTACAACAAAGATGAAATTATTGGCATGTTTTGTTACATTTTAAATCTTATGCACCCGGTACAACAAAGATGAAATTATTGGCATGTTTTGTTACATTTTAAATATTATGCACCCTTTACAACAAAGATGAAATTATTGGCATGTTTTGTTACATTTTAAATCTTAATATCATCTTCAAGTTTAATTGTTTGAGATTATCGTTTTTAAATGTACCAATTAACAGATTTGTAGTAATTATCTGTTGTTTCCAATAATCTCTTTTCAGATCTTGCAATAAGCCAGCACACGTTTCATCCTGTTCTTAGCACTCAGAATTTCTAAGGTGTATCACATGTTATAATCAATTACATGGTTTGACAGATTTAATCTGCTTTAAGCTTTGACTCATTAGAACAGTGCTCCTCAAACTTTTTGTGACCACCGCCCACTTGGCACCATAAATTCATCCCTGGTTTATCCAAATTTAAAAAATTGTTTTTTGTTTATTGAGGACAGAACTTAGCACAATTCTGTGAGGAAGATAACAACACACTACAATTTTATATGTTGTAAGTACCGGTAATTCAAATTTTAATTTAAGTATAAATTAGATTTTTTTCTTCAATTAATTCAGCAATTATAACAAATAATGACAAGATAGTTTCTTCTGAAGAACTAAATGCATCACACAATCTAAAATTTCAATTAATGAAGTTCCTAAAAAGCACTCAACACAATTTTATGAACAATATTCAAATGTTCGCAAGTTATTTTAAGCAGTAGCATTACTAGGGCTGCTGTCCACACCAGATGATGCACAAATGGTGACAACAAATGGAAAAGTCCATTTTTAAAATAACTCAGTTAAAATACAGGTGCATGGTCAGGTTGTGACCAGAACAGTGTGTCACCAGATAGAGCATGTTATCACCAGAGCAGGGTGTCGCCACAGCAGCGGCAAATTGCCACCAGAAAAATGTGTCAACAGATAGAGCTTGTTATCACCAGAGCAGGGTGTCATCACAGTAGGTTGCCTCAAGGGGTAACTATACTGAGCAGGAGGCCATCAGATTATATTGCCAGGTAAGATTGTAGCATCAGAGCAGGGTGCATCCAGAAAAGGTTGCCATCACTGCAGGCAGTTTCAGTGAGGTGCATGGGGCGTGTACTGAAAAGTAGGAGGGTGGGACCATGTGGTTTACCACACTGGGTAACACCAACTTCAGTGATGCAACTTTATCATGTTGCTTCCGGTATCCTTACTTTTAGACAAGGGAAGTATACCCACAAGAGTAAGTACTGTGAAGCACCTGTGTCTCGTAAAAATCTTGATAGGTTGTAGACTTAAATCATCGCCTGGCAGTGACACAAAACCTTCTGTTATGAAAGACATAAAATTTTGATGAACATCAGTGGTTTCTGATGTAGAAGTTTGGACCCTGATAGGAAAAACTCTTGTCGGAGTCTTGAGAACATGTGGTTAGGGTAGAAGTAAAACTCTGTCATCAAAACTTACACTATGGTCTTTGGTAAAACACCCTTTGGAGGTGGACCTCTTCTTGGAGCAATAGGATCTTAAAGAAAAGCAAACAAGACTTGCAGTCGAAGCAGGAACTTGGCTGGAGTCTTTAAATCTAGCCTTATTGTTCAGAAACTCTTTGAATAATTGTGACAAACCTCTGTGAATTTTTTATGGACAGCTGGAGAAGAGCATAAACTTTTTGATTTTTCAAATATGTTTCCATATATACAACAAGACATACATGCGGAGACGTTGTATGGTGTACAATTTTTTCTTGAGTTTCCCTTTTGCAATAGGCACAGATGTCTCTTGGACTGGATTCTTTTGTACCAGAATTGTGTGATCTTTGTTGAGGTATGCTATAAGTTAATATAGTTGCTTGATGGTGCCTGTCTTGTTTTGTGTCAAACTGGCTCTTGGAGAATTGATGCCACCAGAGACTAAAGTCATCAGCTGACACTGCTGCCTTTTGCACATTGTTACGTACCATTATATTGTTTTTTGTAAATTTAACCTGCTTTCAAAGAGCTTTAACCCATTTGTTGAGCAATACGTCACAAACGACTGAAAACTAGTATACAAAAAAAAAAACAATACCAAAGCTAGTGATATTAACAATATTCAATATAACAAATACTATTAAATTTATATAAAGAGTACAAAATCAAATGAACTGAAATAAAATCTATATAAACTTACAGCTCAACAAGTGAAAGATTACAATCCTTGAAAGATACAAATATTAAAGAGTAGGCTATAATCTTATAACTTATAAGTATATTACAAATTGTAAAATAAATGTCTAGGAAAAATGGCAAAAATTTCTCCCTCTGGAGTAACACAGGCAGAAGATGCGCAAAACAAAGCCCTTGCTATAAAAAGAACATTAAGGAAGGCCAAATTTAAAATTTAACCTTATATCAAGGTTCTCCTGCAAAGCATAAAGCCAAGACTGCCATTTCCAGAACCGACCTCATTAGCCATTTGACGTGTCCATAGCTAATCCATCGTCGCGCGAATTGGAAGGATACCATATATATAAATATATTACCTGGCCATCTCCACCTGAAATAAGTCCAACAGGAATCATACACTCTGGTTCTGTAGCCTGACCACACTGTGAAATCAACAAAATAATGAAATTATTCTGATTGACCTGTATATATTTGGAGACGGATAGATTTAAGAAACATTCTATCAGTTTACAAAATGATCTCAACAGCCACTACTAGAAAAAAGAATTTAGTTGGAAGAGATTGAAAGGAAAAATACAACTGCCAATATTTAATTCAATGTACCGGTAATCCCTGTTTTAGAAACTTGTAATCTATGTTTCCGAATCAATAAAGTTAACTGCCACACATACAACAATGTATAGAAACTTTCCCTTACTTCATCAATAAAGACATGTGTGAAATGGCCAGACCTCACTCCGAGTCCATAGAATTCCCCACTCATCGTGCAAGTGCTCACAATAATACGGTAATGAGATATCACTTCCATGTCATCCGCTACTCTACAGTATTTCAGGATGGTTTCAGGTACGGACTGTAACAACAAAAAGTAAATGAAGGTGTCTGCTGTTTGTGGTGTTCCTCAAAGTAAAAGAGCTTTCCTGTCAATTGTCATCAATGTAACAAGTTTTCTCATGGGATTTTGTAAATACAGTGGTACCTCAAGATAGGAATTTAATTCGTTGCATAACCTTGCTCGTAGGTCAATTCGCTCGTATCTCAAAGCAATTTTCCCCATAGAAATTAATAGAAATGCCCTTAATCCATTCCAGCCCCCAAAATGCCACCTCAGTTGTTTTTGTTACGTGTTTTTGAGTAAGAAAAATGTATTTATAGATGACAAATATTGTATAAAAACACAATAAAAGAGAATGTAAAGAAATAAACAGGTTTTATAAAGTGTATTTTCCTTGGAAATCAGCCAACTTGAACTTACGGAAGATACTGGCGGAGGTGTAAGGTGGAGGAGATAGGCGGAGGAGTTTCACTTCGTTCACTCGCTGGCTACACTGTTAATGCTGAACTCTTTCGGCCACTTTAATTCACTTACTCATTAGACGCTTAATGCTACACTTTATCCATAAAATTAATGGAACTTAACCAAATTTCTCTGAACTTATTTGAACTTAAATGCCACTGTACAATTTTTTTAACCTTTCGCTTTAATTTTCGCCGACCCGCTGATCCAGTTCCTCTTATCTCAAATATTTCTTGTATCCCAAAGCAAAAACATCGCTCGCATGACGGCTCATATCTCAATAATCTCTTATGTCATGGCACTCTTATGTCGAGTATTCAGCAAAAAATTCTATTTTTTAAGATAAGACATGACATAACATACTAACTTCAAGTGACCTTTGAAATCCGTTGAGACGCACCATCTGTGTTTGTTCCACAACTTGACTCATATGAAGTCTTTCAGCCTAGACAAAGTGATAATAGAGTTGAAATGATTCATTTCAAAAATGAATTAAATTTAACAAGTGTAAAAGAAAGATGAAAAGACAAAATTTTAATGTATAATTAAAATACCTACATACCACAGTTTAATGAAAGAGCTTTAATAATTATTACAAAAGAGAAAAATAATATAGTCAAGTATTTTATATTTAAATATACTGCAGTATTTATAAAATTTTAATAAAATTACTGTGCTATTCATCTTGGGGTGCAAAATATTTTCATGCACCAATCGGTAATTAAAAATAGTAAACGCACAATGAGGTCAGCTGCACTATTGGATGGAGTGCAGGCAATGATGCGACTGGATGGAATTTGAGTAAAAATCTGCAAGATGGCCTCAACAACTGTAATTGTTTTCCCAGTTCCTGAAATAATAACCAACTGAACATTTCACAAATGGGTTTTTAGAGCTTTTAAAAACTTTTGTAATGAAAATATTAAAACAAATGTGGTATGTAAGACAAGATCAAAAACCAAATAAATTATTGCAACCCGGTACTGAAGTTAACACAAAAGAAATATATAAATCAAATTCTAAAAGATGAGGCAACTTGAACTTCTTTAAATTTACTTTTTGATGTGCTTAGAATCCATCAAATTGTTTTTTGGAAAATATCATTCAGGGAACAAAAAAAAATTTAGGTCTTACATTGGATTAAGGCCATTCATTGGAATAACTGTCTGTTGTAACAAAACAACAACAAATATGACTGATGTACCTGATCAATGATAATATGACTGATGTAGCTGATCAATGAGGATATGACTGATGTAGCAGATCAATGATAATATGACTGATGTAGCAGATCAATGATAATATGACTGATGTAGCAGATCAATGATATTATGACCGATGTAACAGATCAATATTATGACTGATGTAGCAGATGAATTAACACTGACAGTTTAATGCAAAACTTCAGTGATGATAGGAATCAGACAACATAATAATTAAAATTATATTTCAAAGTGATTCATCAACTCCAAACAAGAAAAAGTAAAGAGAATAACTTCCACTGGTGTTACTACCTGGAGGGCCAAATATAACATAAGGAATGGGCCGAGCCTGCCCCAGGAGAACTTTCATCACGGCCGTCTTCTGTCTATCATTCAAAGATGGATTGAAGAAATGAAAATCCTTCTTTCCATTTCTAAATTTCCTTTGCTTATGGTTAGAAGCACAGGAGTTGGAGAAAGTGTGTGGTGAACCTGGTGGGATATTCTCTCTTTGGTTAGTTTTAAAACTTGAAGACATAGAGACTTTGAGTCTGGTATCTTTGTCAAAATAGTCTGAAGTCTGAGATGAGGTACTTCCTGGTGAAAATGGTGATTCAGATGACAGAAGTAGAGTGTCCTCAGACAGCATGACATCCTCCAAGCTCACTTGAGGAGGCTTTATTTCAACTTGTGTGGGGAACAGAACTGTGATGTGCAAGAAGAGAATTAATAGGCCTTGTTTAAATATTGTACTGGCGCTAAATTAAAGTTTCAGATGATTACATTCTTTACTTCTCAGAACAATGCCCCATTTATTGATATGTTCTTTTAAGATAAACAATGCTTCACTAACAGCCCTTCCAATGTTAAGAATAATTTTTTCTAATAGAAGGAGAAAACTTAAAATAAGAACAAAAACAGTTATACAAATGCTTGTTGACCTACTCACCTTTGGATGGTAAATATTGAACAGCTAATGATGCCGCTTGCTGGCATCTACAGAAAGGTTTTCTATTTTTTTTTTTTAAAGCACAAAGGACACAGAGCAATTAGAAAGTAAATTCATTTGGAAAACTATTATTATTTCTGTTAGATTTATGCCCATCTGTCACACCATATTTATGAATTATAATCAACTGCTAGGGGTATGGCATTATAACGCATAGTGCTACGTACTGTTATAAGGTTCAGCAAATTTAATCTGTTTTAAGATTAGGCTTGTTAGATAAACAAAACATAACAAAGGACTGAAAGCCAGAATACAAAGAAAACCCATTCCACAGCTAGTGATTATAACAAAATCTATTTAATTACACTATTAAGTTGAGATCAAAATGCAAAATAAAAAATACAAAAAATAAAAACTAATTGACTTACGGCACAGAAAGTAAAAAAGTATAATACTAGAAAGGTACAAATATTAATCCACACAGAGTTAAATCTAGTAAGTCTTGAAGGGCTCCTTTAAGTCTGGTAAGTCTGCCGGTCACTGTCGACCGTCATATTTATAGTGAGGCATCAGAACCCTCAAGAACAGAGAGGCTAGAAATTCAATCATCAGACAATATTTTATATCTCTATGCAGACCTTATGGTAATTGTAAAAAAACTTTCCCAATCAAGGATGTGGCAGTGCGTGTCACCAAGTTAATTGGTGACACATAACCATAAGGGAGACAAGCAATGCCCACAAAAACTAGGTCAACATGTTTACAAAAAGAAAAAGAAAAAAATTTGTAGTAATTACCTGCTAAATGTAAACTGAACATTGTAATCTTCTCCATTGTAGCGAGCATGGAATTCTGGATTGAACTTGAGTAATACATCAGTGCAGGTGAGCTGGAAATAAAATTGAACAGCTGCAACCAGTGCACTGAAAAATAATTATTTAATCCTTAAGAGTTCTCCATAAGAGTTAAGATTTATCCATTAGAACATTATGGGAGTTTAGATAAGTGTTTCCTCCACAAATTTTGAGAAACAGATCTGATCTGCTATTATTCTAAGATGAAGAATTAGGCTAACTCCATGTCAAAGCTGACAAACTGGTCTTGAAGAAATAAAAGTAGCAGCTATGTTGTTGTTTTAAAAAAATAAATTTAAAAATGTTGAATTTAAGACCTGAAATGTTACATCAGTGCAGGTGAGCTGGAAATAAAATTGAACAGCTGCAACCAGTGCACTGAAAAATAATTATTTAATCCTTAAGAGTTCTCCATAAGAGTTAAGATTTATCCATTAGAACATTATGGGAGTTTAGATAAGTGTTTCCTCCACAAATTTTGAGAAACAGATCTGATCTGCTATTATTCTAAGATGAAGAATTAGGCTAACTCCATGTCAAAGCTGACAAACTGGTCTTGAAGAAATAAAAGTAGCAGCTATGTTGTTGTTTTAAAAAAATAAATTTAAAAATGTTGAATTTAAGACCTGAAATGTTACTTAAAAAATAGCTCTTTACAGTTAGGGGGAGGGGACCCTTTACTCTTAGTTGAAGATTAACCCAGAAGATGATCAAAATAGGCTTCATGTTTTAGCAAGGTCATGGCAAGGGGTAGATACACAAGGTACAGTCGAACCTGGTTATTTCAACAGCCTCGGGGTTTGCCAAAAAGCGTTGAGATAACCAATTATCAAAATAAATGAAAACCATTATGACGGAAATATTTTGGAGTTTTTTTTTACTCAACAGCATTACCGTCATTTGTTTGATGAAGCAATCGTCATGCAATAAAAATGTACATACATGTTTTCTAACAGGCATATGTGGGGGCGCCACTTTTCCAAATTATCCCGGAATTCCGGATTCGTGAGGCTAAATATTTTTCAGCTCCAGATTCGCAAGTTTTTATTTTCTTTCGCTCCGGATTCACCAGTGCAGTTTATTCAAATACTGATTCTGTTTCTTTTTTTTTTTAAATCAACGTGAAGAGCGTTATGAAAACCTATTAAGCGATAAGAGGGTTCTCTATAAATAGAACAGGTACTGTGACTTCTCTCTTTTGTTTGCAAGCCTCTCGCTCCTCGCTTCTTGCTGTGTCAAGTTAATTGCGCAGACGATATTGTCATTTCATTTCAATTACTACAGTTTGAAGTAGGCATGTTTCTGTTGTATATAATTTTCAAAAGCCAGCGATTGGTCATGGGGATAGAGATAACCGAGGTTAAGTGGCAAATTTGGTCGCCTTTTGTGCTCGAGATATCAGGGTTTGGCGACATAAAAGAATCGACATAACCATGGATAAAATGCTAAGACTGAGACAAAGAGAGAATTTGCCGGTTCCACTTCCAAAATATCGACTTAACAGGGTTTGGGTGTTAACCGAGGTCGAGGTAAGTGGGTTCGACTGCATTTTAAAAACATAATTTAGTCAAAATATGTGCATGTTTTAGGAAGGGCATGGTAAGGGGTAGACAAATAAGGTATTTTAAAAACAAGATAAGGGAAAGTTTCTTTTATCAACTTCTTTAATTAGAATTATTTCACCTACAAAAAATTAATTGAAGTACTGATTATATTTAATGATAAATTTTAATTTAAAAAAATGTTTTAAAATATGGATATTAGTTCATTGAAAGAACATTTGATGGAATATATTGAATGCCTTGCTTACTTGGCACCAGAATAATTTGCCAGACATAAATTAAAGATAAACAATTTCACTCACTTCATGAACAAAGCCCTCATAGCTTGGACCTTCTAAATCAGAGGGACTTGACAGTAAAATTTTGTCACCAATGAGAACAGATGGTCTACCCTCTGCTAATCCTGGTACAGTTAAGGCCAGGTACTCACCTGCTGACTGGAGACAAACCTGAAAAAAAAAATTGATATTATTGATTATTCTGGGTTTTTTCTATGGAAACAATTGTTTTTCAATATATAGGTTTTCATTGTTTGTTTTTTTACAAGTTACTATTATGTATTGTTTCAATTTTTTGTCAAAGTTTGAAATACTTTATAACATTAAAATAGTAAGAAGGTTGAAACAAGTTTTATTTTAATTAAAAAATCAAAATCCTCCAAATAGTGCAAGTTTTCTATTAATAGGTGATTTTTCTGTAATGTCTGGACCAACTGCTTCACATATACATTTAAATGATTGAAATTAATTCATTTCACAATCAGATACAGCACCAAGCCAAAAGTTGCACTGGCAAAAATTCTTAAAACCTTGTGTCCAAGTTTTTCAAAAGGTTATATGTTGACTATCAGCTAATGATCTCGCACGTCACAATTTTCTATAAATATAAAAAAAATTAATTTAATTTTTGTAGAAAGACTTAGGCTTACATTTTGCAAGTGTTCATCGGGTCATCTTGTTAATTCTACAATACAGGAATTACTGATTACATAAGAGCACTTTTTAGAAATTCTGATAGCAGTGCTATAAATAAAACTTTACTAGAAAAAGCTTTTATTTAATTTTTTTGTTTCAAAACTTTATTTTCATAGTATGTAATCCTCCAGAGTGCTGCCTTTCAAGTCAGTGAAAGCTGTACAACAATGAATTAGAAACAGTTCACAAATATTGGACATAGCATTTTAACTTAAAGCAATACCCAAAGATGAAAATCAGTAGAAATTTGCTTATCAGTCGTTTCCTACTAACTAGCTATCCTTTGGGCAGCAGATGCAAGTCCTAAATATTTTTAGTTATAAAACATCACAATATCTTCATTAATTTTCATAAAAGGTTAAGCCATGTGGTGACATTGCCTGCCTTTTGACCAACATGTAGACAGAACAAAATTTATCTGGGTTCCTCCAAGTGGCATAGGAATGGGGTGGGAAGGAGGTGGAATTTTTTCCTTAAATTGATGGGCAGTATTTTTGGCAAACTTCTAAGTTTTTTTCATGGAAGGGTACAACAAAAAAGCTTTGCCCAACCGGGTGGCATTTACGGGTTCTCCCCATATTTGTGTGCATAGCAGATTGGATGAATAAATTCATTACCCTATAAAGTTTGGCTAATTTTAGGAAGGAAATAAACCCAGAGTGAAAAACCTCAATCACTAAAGTCAATGGTTACTTTTGTATGGGATCAGCTGTTGGCTGTTTATGCAAAAAAAAAAAATAGCTGCACATTTACAAGATTAGTAACAGCTGCAAAAAAAATAAAAATCAGGGGCGTAACAAAAATTTTAACAGAGGCGTCCAGAGAATTGTAACATTTATATTCAGGCAATGTTACCCGTGTGAGGTCAAACTCTCTGATGTCCAGCTGCATTTGAATCTCTTCAAGGTGGACCAATGTTGACATTCGCCTGACATAGTTTTTGAAAGTCAGCTCCTGAAATGTGTTTTTTTTTAAAATTTAAATGTTCCAATGACATAATTTCTTTGTCTTACACGATGAAGGTTTTAAAAGAATTGTTTTAAAAAGCTGAATAACATTTAAGAAATACACAGGCCTGATGACTCAATTTACCAAGTCCAAGGGTCCAATACATTTTTTTTACAAAGATGGTTTAGTTGTTTCTAGGCTGCCTTGATAAAGATGTTGGTCAAAAACTACAACCTAGACTTTTAAAATATTGGAGTACAGACTCATCAGAATTATGCGTTTATGAACATAATCAGACAACTGGGTTACAAGATGATGTACTACCTAATCCCGTTCAGAGCCCCAGGGTGCTGCTTACAAAACCCTTTTTTGGGCAAATGCCTTCTTTAATACAGAAAGATAGCTCCACAATCACCTTTAATACAGAAAGATAGCTCCTCAATCACCTTTAATATAGAAATATAGCTCCACAATCACCTTTAATATAGAAAGATGGCTCCACAATCACCATTAATACAGAAAGATAACTCCACAATCACCTTTAAAACAGAAAGATAGCTCCACAATCACCTTTAAAACAGAAAGATAGCTCCACAATCACCTTTAATACAGAAAGATAGCTCCACAATCACCTTCAATACAGAAAGATAGCTCCACAATCACCTTTAATATAGAAAGATAGCTCCACAATCACCTTTAAAACAGAAAGATAGCTCCACAATCACCTTTAAAACAGAAAGATAGCTCCACAATCACCTTTAATACAGAAAGATAGCTCCACAATCACCTTTAATACAGAAAGATAGCTCCACAATCACCTTTAAAACAGAAAGATAGCTCCACAATCACCTTTAAAACAGAAAGATAGCTCCACAATCACCTTTAAAACAGAAAGATAGCCCCACAATCACCTTTTATACAGAAAGATAGCTCTAAAATCACCTTAAACATAGAGACACAACACTTAAAAAAAGCCTTTTCATTCTTCCAAAATGTGGGTACAAACCTTTCCTAGCAAGCACGAATAGTTCTGAAAAATTGTCAAGCATTTCAATGTGTTGTTGCGAAAAGTGTTCAAGTTTGTAAGATCAATATCAACCTTGACCTTAGTCTAATTATCTGTAAATCTCTTTGTCACCTCTCTTATGTGCAAAAGTTTATTTTGTATCAGTAAATACAAAATTTAAGACTTCAACCGAAACAGGCAGAAAACTTATGGAGTCCATATTAGAACATACAAGTTAATTTAATAACAAATTTTTAACAATTTTTTTCAATTCAGGTCCTCTGTTTATGAGTAATATATTTGTAAGTCATTTAAAGAGCAAATGGTCTTATGGTTTTTCACCACTAGAATTAGCATCTGACCTAGCAATTTATTCTTTAAATTTCTGCTGTGTTATTATTACTCAATGTCATTCAGTATGTTCATCATAGTTCATGCAGTGTAAGATTAAGACTAACAAGGCATGGTGTTATGGGCATGGTATTATGGGCATGGTATTATGGGCATGGTGTTATGTGCATGGTGTTATGGGCATGGTGTTATGGGCATGGTGTTATGGGTATGGTGTTATGTGCATGGTGTTATGGGCATGGTGTTATGGGTATGGTGTTATGGGCATGGTGTTATGGGCATGGTGTCATGGGCATGGTGCTTAAATTGGGTGGTTTTTAAATCTGAATAATCTTTCTAAATGTTTTCCCTATTTGAAGCCAAATGAGTATTTTACCTGCATGAGATAAGGTGCTAGTGTGGTCAACTCTTCCCCATCCAGCACTGCCCTTTCAAGCTCCACTGGCACTTTCAAGTATGGAAGTTTTACTGGGAGTTGGACTTGGTGAGGAAATCTGAAGGTAAGATTTGTTTAAAACTTTCATCAATAAATTTGTCAGACAAGCAGAAACGTTGTGTCAAATATTTACATGAGGTTAATGGGGAAAAAAAGAACAACTGGTTGGCGTATTTTCAAACTAATATTGAGAGGTAGGCAACATTAGTTTCTGTACATGTATTATTATTAAGATTACAATACCGTAATGTAACAGTAAATAAATAAACATACAATATAATGTATTCAATAACTATTGGCACAGCCTGTTTATGAAGATCACTTCTCAAAGTAGAAGACTGACATCTATGTATTCATATACAGTGGATTATTGCAAATACTAAGGTGCCCGTCATTCCCCACTTTGATGGACAAAGATGTGGTGGGGAAGCGGAAATTAAGGACACCCGCCAAAGTCACCCGAGCAAAAGTGGGGGAGAGGTTTGGGATGGACAATGTGCACACTTCCCATAAATTTTGTATTAATTCAAAATGCAGGGATGCACTTTTGTCTTTACCTAAATATAGTTTCGAATCATTCTACAATAAATCATAATGTTTGTGGAAACTTAGGTTCCCCTTACTTGTTGTGTTTATATAAATCCTTTTTATTTTAGATAAGTTAAGATAAGATTCTTTATTGTTCAAAATAAATAGAAATGTTTTTTTTAATACATTTTACAGATCCAGAAAATAAATAAATACATAACAAATTAAAACCAAGACAACATTTTACAATCATAACAATTTTAACACAAGACATCTAAAGTATTTTTCCAGCGTAGAAATCAGCCATCAATGAACTCCTTCAGGGACAGTAATGTTTAATTAGTGATCATATAGTTTTGGGTAACTGCTGGGGAAGCACGCTGGTAAACTCATACAGACTGGGGAACAAAATAATTTTTATATCCTTCTGTCCTAACTTTAAGAGAAAGAATTCACCCTGATCAAGCTGATCTTAGATGTCTGTGATGAAGATAGTAAATAATAAAACTGTTTTATAATTCATTACTTATTTCAATCTATTTTTTTAAATCAGCCCAAAAAAGAGGTGGGAGCACTGAAATAACCCTAACACCATCACAAAACAAATGATTTATGAATATTTCAAATGTGAGCTTATGCCTTATGCCAAAATAAAAATAATCACTAATTGAATGAAGAAATAAGTTCATTTGTGATGTGTCCAGCAGGCCACAATATTTAACATGGCGGGCCGCGAGTTGCCCACCGCTGCATTAAGCCTAGGAGCCATATTTTATTTTGCGTTAACATATTGTAGTCTAAAAACTACCGCTAGCTGTGGGAAGAGGATTGCTGGTCTATTAAAATTGTGCAGCTGCTTAGCGACTTCTAACAATATATTTCAAATGATGATTATTAGATCTTAAAAAAATATATCAAAATCTAAAACATGCTGTGTGGAACAGTTGAAAATGGACTTTTTTAAATTTTAATATCCGTAGTTTTCTCCCTATTCGCAATCGCAGCTGTTCAGCTGAAGAACTAAATAATTAAGTCATAAAATTACATCATACAACACTGAAGCAAACAAAAGCGAATGTTTACAAAATTTGTCACTCTTAATATTACTGCTGCTGTCTCTAGTGTGTTCATTGTGAAAACACAAAACAACAATTTGACAATTATTACAAAATGTGGTGGTGTTATTTTGCAGCCTTTAAAAATATTTAGACACCAGCCACTACACTTATCATGCACACCCGTCCACTTCCAAGTCAACACCACCCCCTTTCCTCTCTCAATGTGTACATAATATAATTATGGATGGTCCCCAGCCAATCGTATTTCTCGGTCCATTCGCCGCCAGGTGTATAAAGAAGCAAAAACTAACAAGCAAAAACATATTTTTACTTTTAAAACAAAACATTTTTAAATCGTAAAATTCACAGGAATGTACTTTTCTAACCAAGCGTCATAAAATCGTAGCTCTGTCAGGTGTTAGCATACAATTGTAAAAAACATATCAAAATCGTACATTGTGTGCCAAAATCATAACAGTAAGAAGCAGATCTGCAGTTGCTATGTACATTAGAAATCAAAGAAGTTTGTAAAATTCATCTATTGAAATATAAACTCTTTTAATGGAAAGGTTTGGAAGGTCCCATGGTAGATGAACAGCTGGTGTATTTTATAAATGCTTCAACTTCAACCAAATCCAGTTTGAAAAATATCTTGAAAAATCTTTAGGATGAATAAACTGCCTCACTGTATCCATCTTGACATTTCTTCCATCAGATGTAAGCTTGGCTTTCTGGCTGGGAGAAACTTAGGATTGGAAACTGGTGGGTCATCATCTTTTACAACAGATGATTTTAACCTGTGAATGTAAAGGAAAAACTAATTTTATATACACTACTTTGAGCGATGAAATGAATACGGTAATACATTTATTGGCCTATGACTACTAATCTTGACTTTACTTGCATTTCCAGTTTTCATAGATCCAAATAGTATAAATACAATTAGGACTTTTTAAAAAACACCATCATTGAATATTTTATATTTACAACACAAACAGATGGCAAATTTCATATTCTTTATGATGAAATATATCATATGTACCTTCCGATGCATTGTTTACATTGTAGTAGCAGTTGCTAATAATGACAATTTCACTATTACCTAATGTAATAAAATATGCGCACATTATAAAATGAAGCACTTTTTAAAGAAATTTCATTTTTTAAATGAGCTGTAAATATTTTAATATTCTTAAAAAAAGAAATTTAACCAATCCATTAATAAAAATTGTAAAAATAACTCAGAAAAAACATAGAATGATGAAAAACTTTAAATCTAACCTTCTGGTATTCACGACTTCAATGGATAATTATCATCAAAATATGAATCATAAACACTTGATTCTGGTTCACAATTATCCTCCTCAGAAGATTCAGATAGAAAGTGATCAATATTTTCAATCAGTAATATTCATTTTCATAGCGATTGCACTGTGACATTGTTTTGCGTCTAACAAAAATGTGCCCAAGATGGCGACTCTCACTGAGTCAAGTCACATGTTTCTCAAACTCTAAAAACAAATCAAAACTATTACAATCTTTAGATTTTTAATTATTTTTAATTTTTCTGCCAATTGTACGATTTAAAAATATAGAATACTTTAAAAAATACTAAATTTTTTTAATGAAAATAACCTTCGTATATAAAATTACGCTCTCTTTATAAGAGGAATAATGTGAGCAGGGATTTTACCAGTAAAGCGTTATTTTTTTTCTCACCTTCTAGGTCGCTGGCCAGGAACCAGCCATGTACTGTTGACATTCCTAGCAGGTTCTCTATACTGCCTTGATCTTCAACAATAGAAATAATTTTTCAAAAGTCTTACCAGAATACTTGCATTCTAATTTTAACATACCATTTCCTAACATTTAATACAGAACCTGGTAAGAAATTATATTTTCTACTTGATATTTCCATGCATTAATTTATTATCAAAGGATTTCTTCTTCTACTAAATGGTGTAACGATGACATGTAAAATGTTCCATAATAATATAACTTCAACATATCATCAGACAAGTTTTTTTAAATTTGCAAAAAGATCTAAAAATAAAAAATATGTCAGCTTTTAGTTATCATACTCAATGAGAAATAAATTTTGCATGTTTACTGATTTAAAATTAAAATCTGAACAATGCTAACAAAATATTTTTTTAAAATAACGTCTACAAAAACCAGCAGGTTACCAAAATAAACATCATTATAAACATTATTATAAAATAAGCACTTTAAAAGTCTATTACAGTACAACCATGAAAACTGACCTGTAAACTTGTGACTCACTGGACAATGGCACCAAACTGAGCGCCCTCCATTCACAGGTTTTACCCCGAGAGTTTTCTACAGCAACAACTTTGACAACATCCTGCCTTTTTGGCCAGTATCCATTTAAGCAGGCAGTCTTGTCAAAATATATCTGCAGTGAAAAGACACCTTCTAATACGGAATATTAATTTTATCTGTTTATTATTATCTATTTTATCAGCATTAAGTAACCTCATGATCAATATGGTGAAAGAATAAAATAAATACAAAGGAAAAGTCTGATTACACACAGATAACATTCAGAGATAAAATTCATTAGATTAACAGACCTGTTTACCCCCGGGCTAGGGTCAGAGTCGTTTTCAGTTCTCAAAATCATACTTTCAAGTTCCAAAGAATAGTTTGGTCTGTTAGCGTGGCTGGGAAGGGGGGGGGGGGTTGATTTCTTACGGTGCGGAAACTTTTTACTGAAACACCCCAATTATGAATTTTTTTATTAAAAATAAACCGAACAAACGAAAAAACTCCAGAAACCATAGGGTATTTTAGGCTCCTCGTAGTCTTAAGCTTGTAGTTACTACGGAGAAAGCTTAGGTGTTAACAGGTCTGGATCAATAATTATACAAGCCCTAAAGAAAATTTAAAACAACTATTGAGTAAAATCTTATTAATGTAACTTTTTCTAAAGAAAATTTAAAACAACTATTGAGTAAAATCATATTAATGTAACTTTTTCTCTCTCTTTAGTTTATGGATTTCTCTTAAATAGTTAAACTATTTATATTTGATTAATTTATATTTCTGTTGTGTAGTCGCAATATTGTAATTAGGTAAGCCATAATAAAATTTGCTCTTTTTTTCTACATATACAATTTTGTGCCCAGACATACATGACTAAAATAAACAGAGTCTAAGCTTGATGATGTGCTCCATTTTTTAAAACAAAATCAACATATTTAATGGATTAAAGCCAACTGGTGCAGATTTATCTGTTTAAAGGTTATTTTTTTATTATCTCCATTAAGTTATCCTTTTATGCCTTTCACCCACTTTTTCTTCAATGTAGCCGTGGTCTTGCATTACAGCTGAAACAACACCTTCTGTGATGCATTGCCTTGATGGACTGATATTAAAAGCACGCTTTACTTTGATGACAGACATACTGCTCCAATCATCTACAACATCTGTTTAAAAAAAAAGGAGGATTGTTTGTAAATTTTATATAATAATAGTTTCTGATTCATGGTACAAAGAGCATATTTTTTATTGCAGCCGAAATTGAATACTACTAATACAGTGGAAGCCTTATTATTTCATTCAAAAGATTACCCGTTTCTAATGTAATTCTTTTTTTAATATGCTTGTGGCATAATTCTGCTTACATATATTAATTAGTACATATTGTTTTGCTTAAAATAAAAAAAATGTATGCTTCAAACTTTATAAAAATTCAAACATAGATAAAGTTGTATATTATTGATGGGCAACTTTTAAAAAATTTAGTTTACTCTATTACCAACTCCCCACCTTTTTGTTGGGATATCACACTCACCAAGCTGTTTATCAAACTCCTTCACATTTGCAGACACCCAGTCACCTCTCATAGGCAGATATTCATCTTTGCAATCGCTTATGTCAAAGTCAATATCTTTATTGATTTTCCCAGCAACATTGTTGATGGAAGTGACTTTGCCCATCACCACTTGGCTCTGAAGTACACTGATATCAATTTCCTCAGGATCATCTTGGACTTTTCCGCTCCAATCATTATTAGTGACTTTTAAATCTTCAGCATACCAGCCACCATCTTCCGTATGTTGGACTGCTTTCACTTCTACATTATCACCAACCTGCAAAGTATTAACTCCCTTTTTTAAATGACTATTAAAATGCCTTGTTTTTTTTAAAAATGATGTCCATTGGTCCAACTAACCTTTGACAGATTTAAAATCTCTGTAAATTATCAAATTACCAAATTATCTATTGGACTTCATACAGAATAAAATAAATCCGTTTAAATTCATTACTAGTACTGTTTTTGTTTGCTGAAGAGGTTTCTTGGTCGACACAATCATCTTTTTGTTTTTCTTTTTTCAAGTTTTTCACTGCGCTTTGGTTCCTATTTATTAAATTACAGCTCTCTAGGATCAGCAGAGCTATGACGGGTTAATGAAATAAAAAATTTAACATACAATTTACAACCAAGCAATCTACCATTTATCCATGGAGAAAAAAAAAAGATTGTGAAAGGAGTTAGTAAGTTTATTGACCATTAAATTCAATTTAAAATCGTCCTAGTTTCTAATAATGATAATGGAAAAAATTAATTCACTTTACAAACCTCTATTTGTTCTCCTCTCTGAAAATTTCCAGATGAGAAATAAATGTCACCATTTATAAGTCCATGACCTTCAAATAAATGAGTAATTTTTCCATTCAAGGCTTGAATCTTTACATTTTCTTTTGCAGTGGTTAAGAATGGAGCATCAAGATATGAAAAGTCATCAGTTTGGTTCAAGTAACTTTGATTTGAAGAATTGGTAGATTTTTCTGATGGTGAATCTCCAAAAAAGTATCCTACTATTTTGGAAATTAATGAAAACATCTTTGTCTTCCACAATAGTGCTAAAGAATGATTAATTCAAAAAAAGATTGAATACAACTGATATCCAGGAATAAATACATAAAATAACTAAAAATATATAATTCATTCAAATTGGTATCACAAAATATTAGACAGAAGAGTTTTCCATTTCAGGAATTTGTGAAATGTTTTGATGAAGGGGGAGGGGGTAAAAAAATCTGCCCAATAGTGTGAACAAGTTTTTTTTATTTATGGATGGCCCTTAACCTAATGTCCTGGTTTAAAATTTGAAGAAAAAATGGTAATCTTAACAATAATTAATAACTTGCTTTTCAAACTATAGACAGGGGTTGCTCGGATAACCAAGGTTTCAGATAATCAGCATTCGGAAAATTGAAGCTCTATTGTATTACCACTACATACTTAAACATTTGCCTAAGCAGTATTAGGGAGCTGAAAAACTACCAACATGTGTCTCCTCTCAAAATCTTTATTAATCTATATAATTTTATAAATAATAACCCGAACAGTCTGTATGCTGCCATGCTGAATATTCTGATTTAAGCTTAAAATACCTTAATTTTGTTTCAAAAAGTCATGCGGTTTTGAAATTAAATCATTTACAAATTTCAAAAGAAGACTCTTAAAGTTAAAAGGCACAAAACAAGTTTAAGATGGAAATGAACTTTTGGAATTCATTACCATCTGTGGCGTCCAGAGTATTGGAGCGGAGCTTGGAGCTGGGTATTTTTGCCTGGAGCTGATTTAATTTCTATCTTCTAAGTGCTTCAAGCTCCAAATATTTTTATAAATTAATTTTAAAAAGAAAAAAATATATACATTGTACTTTTTAAATTTAAAATTAATTTATTAACATTTTCTTCTACCAGCTATGTTGCCCCCCCCCCCCCCCTTTTTACCCACCAAAATCCATTAATATTTTTTTTTTTCAAAAAGGGGGAAAAGAAAAAAAATGAAGGTTTTTTTTTCATTTTTTTTTTTTTTTTTAAAAAAAAAGGGGGGGGGGGGGGAGAGGGGTATTTGTAAATAATAAATTGAAGAACAAAGCACAAGTTCCAGCATCACAGTTTTTAGTTATACTTATACTATACTGACTGGATGATTGATAGAGAAAAAGATATTTTGTGGTGTGGCAATTTGATTTTCTTTTCACTTATCTCACTCAAACTCCAAATTATCAAATAAATTAAGTACTAGTTACTGGCTAGCATGGCCTAGTTCATTACACTAGAACTAGTTCTACTAGGAACAAGTTCTGAACGAACCTAGCTATTAATATAATATATAGTATAGACTATCTTTATATGACTATTACTATTACTAATAACTTTATATTAAATTAATTATTTGAGACTGTGACTGAGACAACACTTAGCACATGGACATGTCATTTGCTTTTGTATTATTCTGAACACGTTTCATAAAGTAATAGTGTAATAAAAAATTAAGAAGGGATGAAAAAATCCCAGCAATTTGAACAAAATGTCTAAATTTATTTGGTTGCCTTGTTTAAAAATTTAAAAGACGCCAGTTTCATAGGGCCGGATCTAGAAAAAGGCCGACGCCATCTTGTTCGAAGTGGGTCCCTGTCCTTTCGTTTTCGATATGACAATAAGGGGTTTTCCAATGGTGAGCGAAAAAAAAAGTCACAGGAAAAAAGTCACGGAAAAAAAAGTCATAAATTTTGCTAGGAAAAAAAAAAGTCATAAATTTTGCTAGGAAAAAAAAGTAACATGAAAAAAAATCACAGGAAAAAAAAGTCACAGAACATCTGTTGATAAATAAATTCTGAAAAGAGTGGGGAACAAATGAATGTGTAAATCTTTTGGTCCAATAACACTCCCTTGCCCTTGGTGACAATAATTAGTTTAAGTGTGATTACAGGTACGCCACTGTACAACAGCTGGGGGGGGAGGCATCTTGGTAAAGTCTGACAAGACTGGGGAGCAAAAGAATTTTTATATCGTTCTCTCAAAGACGCATTGACCACATTGCGGCCATAATTTTTCCGTAGAGTTATCAGTAAAATTGTATTATGGTGCAATGTCCCTTGCTTTCATTTGATTCCTTTACCATGTGAGATGTGTCGGTGAGATGAGACGCGAAAATCTAATGACAATCATTTTTAATCTCCCTTAAAACTTCAAACTTATTACTTTTTAATGCTCCATTTAAAAGTTAAATAATCATATTTTATTGTTTATTTCATTGATGGAATAAGACTCCCGTTTTAGGAGTGGCATCTTCAGTATTCTCAAGCAGCCTCTTTTTAATTATCAACTTAGACAACTTGAAAATCTTTTGTAGGAAGTGGAGCCAAAATTGTGAGCCCCCTGAGGTGCCAATTGGCTAAGCAAGCTCTGATTCCAGAGTATTGCTCTCTTCTTAGTTTTCTTTCCCCAGCCCCATCCCCCAATATTCTCCTTTCCTGACTCTGTCAATCAGATTTCCTACAGTCTCTAATAATTTTCTCCACACCACCCCCCATTTAACCACCCGACCGCCAACCATTATAACACACACACAAGCCAACAGACACACACAGACTCAGTACAACTGTTAACCCAAGGCCCATTCAACTCCAGCCTAAAGGATTAAAGAACACAATTGCTTCCAAAAGTTTTAAAAGTTGCAGTTTATTTCGTTTTTTCCCCTTGCTCTTGATTGACAAGAGAGACAGCCAATAGGAACCATCTGAAAGTAAATGAATGAAAACAGGATTAACTCAAACGTATTTCTTTTTAGTGAGAGACATATCAGTGGCGTAGTTAATTAAGGGATTGCGGACCGCACCGAGCAACGATGTGTAGATAGTCATTTCATTTTACGATGTCAAAGATGAAATAAATTACTGGTTAACAGATTATTGCATGCGTTTATGCCCCACTAAAAAAAAAAAATCTGATATTCAGCTTATAAATTTCAATAGTGGACTTAGTTATGGACCTGAGTTTTTAAAAAAAAAAATGTATTATTATAGAAGCTTATACTTGACTACGGGGGTCGGCAGTTTTTGGGGGTTTTTTGGACGAGGGCTCTGGGGCCGGATTAATTGTGCCTAATTCATAGTCGCCAACAAGTTTAATCGGCGAACCATTTAAATGTAAGTTTTGAAAATATAAAATCGCACATTTCAAACATGTAATATACGCCGTTTTCTGAAACATGACACAATTTTTTTTTTGTGACATAGCGAAATTAATTATTTTTTTGAAATTCTTAGATTCCCAATTAAGCTTTCGTGTGATGTTTCGTGAATTGTTCACAACATTACAAACACCATCACCAAAAAAGACTTAAGGGAGAGGGCATGCCAGGAGCCTATTGCTGAAGACATCATAAGGAAAAGATGGACGTGGAAGTAGAGGGCATGCCAGGAGCCTATTGCTGAAGACATCATAAGGAAAAGATGGACGTGGAAGTAGAGGGCATGCCAGGAGCCTATTGCTGAAGACACCATAAGGAAAAGATGGACATGGAAGTAGAGGGCATGCCAGGAGCCTATTGCTGAAGACATCATAAGGAAAAGATGGACATGGAAGTAGAGGGCATGCCAGGAGCCTATTGCTGAAGACATCATAAGGAAAAGATGGACATGGAAGTAGATAGGGCACACTTTTCTGTACTACTCCCCCCCCCCCCCGATAACATCACCAGACAATCCCTATCATGGAATCCACAAGGGAAAAGAAAGAGAGAAAGGCCTAAGGTTACATGGAGACGCGAACTGGAGGCAGGCACACAAATTATGGGATACGCATGGAAGCAACTGGAAAGGAAAGCCCAGGACCGGGATGAATGGAAAATTCTTTTAGTAGGCCTGTCCCCAAGACGAGGTAAAAGGCATAAGTAAGTAGGTAAGTAAGTTAGATGTTAAATATAGCGGTTGGTATGTATTAAATAGTGAGGCATATACATGTTAAATACAGTGACATATAAATATATATAAGTGCAGTTAAATGATCATGTTTCTTTATCAAAAACTCATCTGACCCAGGGCCTTGTCAAGTAAATTTTGGCGCCCAGCAAATACATACTGTGGGCCGCCACACATTTCAAAATAATTTTTCATCTTTAATGGTAATCAAAGAAATGACGCCCTTGAGGGCCCCCATGCGGACAAGCCCCAGAGTGATTTACTCGGTTGCCTATTCCTCTTCACCGCTCTGATCTGACCAAACCCGAAGAGTTGTTGTTTTGCTGTGCCCCTTGGGGCACTCCAATGCACCTTAAGGACAGCCACTTTTGAAATCGCTTCATTAAATATTTTTACCCAAATAACGGCTTCTTTTTTGTGCACATTTAAGCAGCAGTAGACAACCATTAAATGAAAAATTAGGCCAACGTTCTTTTCAATGTTAATTATATATTTTAATTTTTTTACTAATGTATAAAGACATCTAAACTTAAATGAAAAAAAAAGGGGGGGGGGGGCATCTTCCACAGTAAACTTACAACTAAGTTACTACTGAATGGTGTGCCCGAGTACATGAGTACGTTGCACGTTGGGAAATTGTAGAGGTTTTTCTAAGAACCATAACACAAGTTTTGTGCCCTGACATTNCCCCCCCCCCCCCCCCCAATCTTTCTCCACGAAGGCGTCAAATGTTAAAACGTCTTCAAACAGTAGGCAATATTTATGAATTATGATGCGAAGGAAGATGCTATTTTAGGGAGAATGAATTTATATTTTTTTATCGTAGAAAAGGTCTTTTTGACTAACCCTTATATGAGAGTGACCAAACTGAGAGGCTCGGAAGTTCCCTCACTCGTAAACATCAACGGCAATTTTAATAGGGATTCTACGATACCACGTCAGATTACTCAATTATGACTTTTTTAAAACTTTTCTCAAAAGCACACTTTGGCCATGTTTGTCTCATAAAATGCTATAAAATAAAAACATTTAGTCCGATTTTAAAACGGTTTTACCATTATAATCAACTTCCAGATGTATACAAACATAATAAAAATCAGAATTTGACTAGTCGGTGAGATTCGACTGAAACCGTTACGGAGGGCCACATTATAGATACGAGAATGGGGGAAACGCGCGGGCCGCATTAACACTAAACTTTGCTGTCATGTAGCGGGCCGCACAATATCGT